ACACACACACACACACATATATATATATATATATATATATATATATATATATATATGTGTGTGTGTGTGTGTGTGTGTGTGTTTTGGAATGACATGAAGGTGAGTAAATGATGACAGAACTTTAACATCAGATTTCTCTGACAGCCACTTTGGCTAAAATTAATGATTATTTTAGGTTTAATAAAATAATTATTTAGTTTCTCAATTCTGTGAGAGGAGAACTTGATCTTAGTGCATGTTGCATGACATTATGGTGCGTTTCATAATCAAAGTCTTCTTTATTGTTTACTTTGAGGTCCAAACAAGTTGATCCAGAGCACATAATGGGTGCCAGACACTTCTGATATGAAAAAATTAAACATTTAATGTTTATACACAGTGTTCAGGAGACATTTTGCACTCATATTCAACACAAACCTCAAAGCTCAGCTTCGTAGTTGTGCTTATATTATCTCCTTTGACTCTGTTCTCCTCTTATGCATTGAAACCTTGACATGCCCTATGTTTTGATGGCCTCTGTCTGAAATGTGATCAGACTGGATGGAAGTTTTAGTTGTCACAGTTGTCCTGGATCAGTCAGGTGTTCAGACTATCAGTCCCCCAGGCCATTCTGATTGGCTGAATTCAATCCACTTCAGTCTACAACAGAAGGTCAACAGTGATAGGCACTTGGCAATGGAAAATCTTGGCTGGACAGCTTTATGTTTGTCTGATTGATTCAAGCTCAGTCCTACACCTCTGTGGCTGGGAATGACCCTGTGGTATATCTGTGCTCTCTGTTTTCGGTTAACATCTTTTGTGCGTTCCATCATTTGACACTGGGCTCATTTGCATCTGGGTTTCCAAGAAATATACTTGAAAACTTTTCAGGAATTAAGACAAAAGAGACAGCAGATTGATATGTTATTATAATCCCAATTTTTAATAGGGCATTCTTGTTATGCAGCACTCTTATGAACTCTGTAAAAATATATATTTTTTAAATAATATGCTTGTGTTGTAATTTAAGAAAATATTTCCATAAAAAGATGTAGCAGACTTTCATGCTTTTATCATGCTTTTGGTCAGATGTGATTATTTACACAAAGACTAAGAAAATTAACAGGATGCTAAAATTAGTAAGGCACTGAGAGTTTTGAGAGAACTGAATTTTTTATTCTATCATACTGATGCCTGTAATTTTATCAAACTGGGTTGTTTTAAAGTTAAACAAACATCGTAACAGCACATACATCATAAAATCTGTTGCTAGTGTATATTGATATTTGTGCTGTTGTTTTCCCACCAAAATGATGTGACTTGCTGGAGGATAATGTTATTAAGAAGCTGGCTTTTAGTTAAAGGGATTTTACAAAAGTCTAATAGGATGGGCAGTGGTTTGTTTTGACTCGAGAGGAGAAAAATCCTTGATCTTGTCAAAATAAATATTTGATTAAATTGCCAGTTTTTCACACATTGTTCCCCCCAACCCGAAGTAATTAAATATCATTGGCATATACACCTAGTATTTAATTATTATTATTATTTTTTTTATGGAAATAAATTATTCAGCAAGGAGGCATTTAATGGATCATAAGTAACAGTAAAGACAATTATAATATTGCAAAATTCCAATAAATGCTGTTCTGTTGAACGTTCTAGTCATCAAAGAATCCTGAAAATAATGTATCTTTGTTTCCACAAAAATATTAAGAATCACAACTGTTTTCAACATTGATAATAATAAGAAATGTTTTGGTGAATCAGCATATTAGAATGATTTCTGAAGACTGGAGTAGCTGCTGAAAATTAAGCATAAAGAATAATTAAGCATAAATATAAATTACTTTTTAGTTTGCATGATAGGTGTTATGTCTGCTGTCGGCCCTGAAACCACGCCCATTTGCGGGAAGCTGCCGCCTCTCACAACTGTCAAATACAAATACGTTTAAATAAGGAGACCGAGCGGTATTCTGTAAGTTATCGCAGCCAGGTAATATGCATTTACGTGACGAAGGCATAGCTAGCTAGCAAACTGTAGGCTGTACTGTAGTAACTAACAGTAATGACAGTAACTTGCGATTGAGCGGGTGAACCACTGACGCTAATGCGCTCAAGTTATTATAGTGTTACAATTCTCTGAATTGCCTTTACACAAACTTTCAAACAAAAATCTCACCGACCACAAAACTTTAAACAGTAGTGTATGAAAACTAACTAATATGGTTCATTTTATTATTTTATATATATATTTTTTAATGTGAGTTTAATATAATATCCAACACATTTGTACTTCTTAGCGGGAATAACCCAGCTGTTATTTTGTCATCTAGTTTAATGTGTAAAGCATACGCAACAGCTATCAAATCAACACTGGTTTAAAACTGTATGTCCTCTGATCTATTTTTAAACATGCTCTAAAATTACTGTTTGGGTGCATAACTACTGTTCCTCTTTCTGATTATTAATAGTAACATGTAACTGAGGATTGTCTATATTTACACCCACCAACGCATTGTACTCATGCAATATGTCTGCAAAGTGGTAAACACCTCAGAGTATAAGCTCAACGTCTCTTTACATATAGACATTAAGGACTTGTTATTGTCATGGTTTTCGTAGGATTAGTCAGAGTTCCCAGGGAATGTGACACTCGGTCCCACACCACCTCCCACATAACTGTGAAGCAGCTTTGAGTAGCATCCTTTTTATTTTTATACATACTGAAACCGTAGAGGCTGTCGAGTGTAATAAATCCCGCGGTGTAAGACTCAGGGCAGACGTGGAAGTGCTGGGTCATGTTGCTCATGGACACTGACCAACAGGAGGTGGTGGTAACTTGCTCGAAGTGATGAGAAGGCCACCCGGTTCCACTGACGTGAGAGAAACTGAGGCAGGCGTCCAGGTTGCTCAATTCTCAGGCTGATGGTGTCTAGTTTATTCAAGGTTTTAGTCCTGGATTTCCATTTTAGATCACACTGCTGTGCAAGTGTTGGATTCATCATGTCAGTCATTACTGATTGAATGGCTACTGATTTCCAAATATAATCGAGGAAGGTTTCATATTCATATGTTAGCTGATCATGTTTTCCGAGACTGAAATAAAACATCATGAGTATGTCTCTCATCCTAACCACTGGAGTTTCCTCATTTCCTCTTTTTATACTCAAAAATGGAAATAACCCATCTTTAGAGCATTGTAAATGTTGTGAAAGTTAATATTGTGTATGATAAATAAAAGATAATGTATAGTCAGGCTACTGTTTAAAAGTTCGGGGTCAGTAGGTTTTTTTTATGTTTTCGAAATTCTCACCAAGGTGACTTTATTTAATCAAAATTACAGTAAAATCAGTAATGTTGTGATATATTACAATTTAAAATAACTGTTTTCTATTTTAATATGTTTTAAAATTTATTTATTCTTGTGATGACAAAGCTGAATGTTCAACAGCCATTACTCCAGTCTTCAGTGTTGGTTATGTAACTAGAAATAAGCAGATATGTAGAAATCTGTTTATCGTATTTAACAGAGCACAGTAATACAACTTGTTTTATTTGTACTTTGTGTATGTTACTGACATGTAGCTACATTTAAGGGGATAGCCATAAAAAGTCAATGCTGGGATAATAAAATGCCTCCATCTTCTTTGGAGCTTACAGGTTATAGTTTGAACTAATACATCACATACTCAAACTGTTTTTTTTTTTTTTATGTCACAGCTCTCAAAACAAGTAGAGCTATTCATTGTTACATCTTCAGATGAAAGCTATCTCTCAGTTTTGAAAGAGACCAGAAAGGTGAACCCTGTGTGCTGTTTTCATCTTCACATCATGTCTCATTAGGTTATTTGTAGGCTAGTTACAGCTGCTAGAGTCTGTAATCAGTTTTACACATACTAACTAGATTAGGGTGAAGTCTAAACCTTCTGAGTAATGAGTCACAAAGATGTGGGGCCCCGTGATTCTCTTTATCTGTGAAGCATGACTATTGTTGTCATCGGCATAAGTAAGCTGTGCTTAAGTCGATGTGTTCCTCATGTTTAATCAAACCATGCCTCAGGAAAATGACCTTGATTCACTTCTACATATGTTCTCTGGTACATTTCTTACATCCTGACTGGGGAAAACAAGCGCAGTCTGTCAAGAAATTTCTTTCAGAAAGGCCCTGGAGGAGATACATGTACGTCTGTTATTGGAGGAGAGCAGTTTGTAGCCTGTTTCTTACAAGGATGTAACCACATATTCTGGATTGAGGGGGACCAAATATTATTTAAGAATGAACCATTGTAATACACACATTGGTCGACAAATCATTTGAATAGTATGGGTAACATGTCCATGGTTTGCATTATGAATGGAAATGCAAGATGCACCATAATAAACAAAACTGTGAAAGACACAAGCTCTGTTCCAAAACCTATTGAGCTGCCTAGAAACTTGACTGGATAAATGCCATGCTTCCTTATTATTTAATAACAATGAGGCATCATAGAGGTCAGAAGTTGTGGTGCCTATAGTTTAAAACAGCCTCCGGAATTCAAAGTATGTAATGTTTTAGAATATTTATTTCTTTTTATTTTGTAATTATATTTATTTATACATTATATTACATTATATTATATTAGATATTTATACATTTAGATTAGATGATCTATTTAAATGTATTTATTATTATTTATTAAAATTAATTAAAATTAAATGTATTTATTAATTCAACAACTTTAACATCCTTTCGGCTAAGAAGAGCAATGTGAACTTAGAATATGTGATTCTCCCAGTAGCAAAGTGCAAAAAGATGTTCATTTCATAGGCAAAAATAGTGTCAGCAGCATAGTGATGCATGAAGCACCTCTCACACATAAGTCGCTTTCAAACCCTCTTAGCTTTCTGTTGGACAACATGGTGAATTCGTGTGAGCAACTCGAACACGAGCAAAATCTTTTTTACCCTCACTTAAAACTCCCAGTCAGACAGATTCCTACTGACATGACTGGAATTTGCCCATGACATTTCACAGAGCAATGGTAAATGTGACCACACCTTACGTTTTTTGCTCGGGTATAATTGCGGTGTCTCATACCATGTAGGGTTTGTACCGGAAACCTTCGAACTCCCATCGAAAATCTTTGCTAAGTCTTGAAGTGTTTTTAATTTCCTCTCTCTTTTTCTCTCTTCCAGCTTTGTGCCTCTTGTGTGTGAATAATGTACAGTGATGGTGCCTTCTCAGACCCACGTGATGCTCAAGTGGCAGGAGCACCTGAACAGCTCCTGGGCGGCGGAGGACAGCGTTCAGACCGCCACACGGCACGGAGCTGCTGCTCTCTATGCAAAACTGGTCTACAACAAGGAGGTTGTGGGCTTGGCTCAGCCAGTGCAGGACCTAATGGGTCCACGCTTGCCCGACTTCCAGTACGAATCCAGCGCTGAGGAGGAGAAGGAGGAATATCTGTCCGCACTGCTCCACAGTCAGCGATGCCTGGCCCACCGCATGCTGGCGAGGACCCCCTTTGCCCTATCCCTGCACCACAGACTGGTGATCCTCCAGAGGGTGTTCTACGCCCTCCATAGCAAGTATCACGACCGTTTCCGAGCACCGCTGCCTCCTCAACCCTCGTCCTCCAGTGCAGAAGGGGGCGCTCTGGAGTCAGTGTCTGAGCCTTGGCCAACAGGCAGTTCCCGTTCAAAGTCGGGCACAGACGTTCTCATTGAAATGGGAGTCCGGACTGGGTTGAGTCTCCTTTTTGCCCTACTGAGGCAGAGTTGGCAGAGGGGGCATCTTGAGAACCCACCGGACGTCGCTCTGTGCAACGAGGTACTGGCCACCGCGTCTTCAGTCCTGGCCGCCCTGCCTCCTCTTTCCTTGGCCAACGAGAACAAGATCCCGACAGTAGGGCTTGACTGTCTTATGCAAGTTGGAGACTTCCTAAAGAAGACGGCGGTCAGTGGGTCCGGGGCGGATCGGGCGGGTCGCAGGCTATCCCTGGAGCTCCTTCTCTCGTTAGCCTTACAAAGAGGATCCTTGCGCTTCCTTCTGGAGTGGGTGGAGGTGGCGTTGGCCGCTTCCGCTTCCTCCACCATGACTGAAACAGTTGGAGTGGGCTACGAGCTGATCCATCAAACCCTGCAACAGATGCGCCAGCACACGGTGTGTTCCTGCACCATGCGGCTGACCTAGCGGTCATGCTAATGGCATGAGTGAAGTAATATACAGTAATACCAATGGATAATGGGCTCTAATTTAGAAAGCTGTGCCTCTTTCAAACGCAGAGAGAGTATAGAGTTACGGCACTGAGGCTAGGCTAATACTTTCCTCCATTTGTTCATCGCTCCCTCAGCACTTAAAGGAAGTCATTGTTGCTAAATGTTACTGCTAATACATTAGCGCCATATAGTAGTTTACCATTATTCTGTATTCCTCTCATTGAGGGCAGGAATGGATTGAACATTTCTCTTTGCTCTAAATAAGATTGTAGCTTTCATTTGACCGGGAGCTCTTGGCCGTCTTCCCAGCTCTGAAAGCCGCCTGAGCCACACCAGACCTGCCATGTGCCGTGCTCTAATTTATTCATGTCTTACTCAATGGGAAATATGTCTACTTCAAGGCTTCTGTGCTTGAAGTTCAGCAGAAGTTGTTTCCTGTACTAAAGGAGGAGGTAGATATGTGGGGCGTGTTAGAACGAGCCGTTTTAGGGGGGCGTGGCAGAGTCTTAACTTCGATAAAGAATATCTCTTTGGTTTTGAGACTTTAGTCTTTGCAACTTCAGGGATCTTATCTATGCACAATCAGCTTGTAACACTCCAAAGAGAAAGGAAAACTTGAAATCGCATCATATGACCCCTTTAAAGATTCTCATACTCCGGAATACAAAGTTCAGTACTTTGGTGAGGTGGAGTAAACATAGTAAATGAATTTCCTTTCATGCTAATGTCGACCTATGTTGCCTGGGCCACTTGATAATGCTAACCAATAGTCAAACAGTGATTTAGATGTTGCGTTTTAGCCAACTTTAGCATTCAGGTCACTTTTCACCTCACAAGTCCTACTCTGCATTTAGATTTCTCTATGAATATTTAGTTTTAATCCATTACAGAAGTGACCTGGGTTGCGATTGCAGTTTCACTTTGTGTTCCTATCATTTAATCGACCATTTGAATGGGTGGTGTTAGTGAATTTGAAAACATAAATGTATGCTTTTATTTTCGAGTCATATTGACCAGCCATTATCAAGATGTCTTGGAAAGAGCCCATCATCTGGAACACATTGTGTCGGCATGAAAATAAAATTTGCCCTATCTATTTTTAAATCCATTGATCTTATTGTGAACAGTTGTGAACCGTGTATGTATTGAATTTTTTTCCAATTTGTTTTGACCTCGTAATTCTTAATTATTCAATCAACAACCAATGGATTGAACCAAGCCCCTACCCTACAGTTTTTCTTTTCCGAAAATCCATTTTACAGCCTTAAATCATAATATGGGAGAAAGGATCTGTCACTACTTCCATTTCATTGCAACTTCAAGCAATACGCCACCATTTTATTTTGTCAGAGCTAAAGGCTGTGGTTAGAACATTGTTAGAATAAAAACTTGATCACATAGATGTATCAGTGACATGCATTAAGTATGTTATCAGGTTTTGTGGTTCTATAGTATTTCAATTAGCAATATATATTGTAGCTGCTAATATTATTGGGATTAATTTGTTGTTTGTTGTTGCAGGCTATTCGTGGTGAATCCATCAATACTCAGGTGCTGAAGAAAGATGCAGATGGACTCTGTAGCCTCTCGCATGTTGCTCTTTGCCTCTTTGAAGAGGTGTGTTTGTGTGAATAAACCTACAAGCGTTCTCAGACTGTAGTATAATGTGTTATAAAAAAAATTCTCAGGCTGAGTATGAGAGACTTTGCCCACTATTTATTCTGATAAGTAAATTTTTAATCTGTATATGTGCGTGTGTGTTGTAGATCTGCACCCTGGCCTCTAACTGCCTGTGCTCATGCAGTGCGGGCTCTTCCTCTTCCTCCGGCTCCGAAATTGATGCCGTCATGGTGTACGTGTGGGGCAGCAACAGCAGCCATCAACTCGCTGAGGGAACGCTGGAGAAGATTTTACAGCCCAAACTGGCTCATATAATTTAATCGACCATCTGAATGGGTGGTGTTAACGAATTAAAAAACTTAAATGCATGCTTTTATTTTAGAATTCTATTAACCAGCCATTACCAAGATGTCTTGGAAAGAGTCCATCATTTGGAACATATTGCGTCCTATTCTAAGCATTATATTTACCCTATCCATTTCTTAATGCATGCTATTGATCTGATTGTGAATGGATTATTTGTGCGTATGTTTAATTTATTTTCCAATTTGTTCTGACCTCGTAATTCTTAAAGGAATAGTTCACCCAAAAATGAAAATTGTCATCATTTACTCAGCCTCATGTCGTTCCAAAATTGTATGAGTTTCTTTTTTATGTTGAACATAATAGAAAATATTTTGAAGAATGCTGGTAATCAAACAGTTGATGGTTCCCATTGACTTCTATAGTATTTATTTCCCTACTATGGAAGTCAATGGGGACCAACAGCTGTTTCGTTCTTCAAAATTCTTCAATCTTCTTTTTGTGTTCAACATAAGAAAGAAACATATTCAGGTTTGGAACGACATGAGGGTGAGTAAATGATGACAATTTTCATTTTTGGGTGAACTGTTCCTTTAATCATTCATTCAACCACCAATTGATAGAAACAAGCCCCCACCCTACATTTTTTTTCTTTTTTAATAATCTGTTTTACTCAGTTGTACGTCATAACTTGGGAAAGAGGATCTGTCTATTTTCATTATATTCCGACTTTTTTTTTTTTGACCATGGTTAGGCACAATGAATAACTTGATCACATAGATGTCTCAGTGGCATACAGTAAGTATGCCACTAATTTTATTGGTTCTACCATACTTCAGTTAGCCATAGATATTGCAGCTGCTAGTATTATTGGGTTTAATTTGTTGTTGTTCCAGGCTGTTCGTGGTGAATCCGTCAATTCTCAGGTGCTGAAGAGGGATGCAGATGGACTCTGTAGCCTCTCACATGTTGCTCTTTGCCTCTTTGAAGAGGTGTGTTTGTGCAAATAAACCTACAAGTGTTCTCTAATATACAGTGTTATTAAAAATTTGTCAGGCTTTGTCTTCTATGACTCTTATTTTGATAAGCAAATCTTTAATCCGCGTGTGTGTGTGTGTGTGTGTTGTAGATCTGCACCCTGGCCTCTAACTGCCTGTGCTCATGCAGTGCGGGCTCTTCCTCTTCCTCCGGCTCCGAAATTGATGCCGTCATGGTGTACGTGTGGGGCAGCAACAGCAGCCATCAACTCGCTGAGGGAACGCTGGAGAAGATTTTACAGCCCAAACTGGCTCAGGGCTTCAGCGATGCACAAATGGTTTGTGTGGGTTTATGTTCCTCAAGTGTATTGAAAATCCAAATAACTGGAAGCCGTCGTGAAGCTAACATTAATTCCAACAGAGACAGCATGGGGAGGAGGAGACAGACCACTTGAAGAAAAATGTAATGAGTCAGATCGCAATGCTCAGTTTGACAGTTTTACAAAATAACTTTTAATTAAAAGGTCCTTTCGTTCCACTTTCCTGTATGACAGAAATAAATAGAAAATGTACTGTAAATTAAATTGTTAGCTGCATGACAACAGATCCATCATATAGGGCCAAATTATTAATATTTTGTTTTAAATGATTGAATGAAATATGCGTATTGAAATCTGGTAATATAAATGGCATTTTTTCTTTTTCATTCTTTCATTTCATTTTATTTTATATTTTAAACATTTTATTATTTTATTGCAGATTTTTGTGTCTTTATTTAATTTATTTATTTATTTTTATTACAGCTTTAGGAGGTGACAAGAAATGATAGGGAGAAAAAGGGGTGGGATCTGTAAATTAATTAATTAATTTGCTTACTAATTTTTTTTTTTTGTTTGTAAAATCATCAAAATAAATATGCATATTGAAATCTGAAAATAGGGCATATTTTGTCCTTTTTAATTTATTTTATTTTTTTATATTTATATTATTTTTCTACTTTATTTAATTGAAGAAGTTATCTTATTTATTTATTTATTTAAACAGTATATAGTTTATAATGCCGTCAGTTTCATATTGGTTACTTACTGCATTATAAATAATAGTAGACCAGCTTATTGAACTACATTTCTTTGTTTCCTCTCTAACTAACAGAGTATGTATTGTGCAAAACTGGTTACCTAATCTGAAGTCTCTACTTTTTAAAACAGACATGTCTTTTCATTATTATTGAGAAATGCAATTTAGAAAACAGCAGCCACATCTTAATAAACTGTGCCCTTTCACTAATACAGTTTAGGCAATCTCCATCACAGTTGATTCAATTCACTTGGCTCTAACTGGTGCTCTTCTCTTTCCACCTGCAGATTGAGGCAGGCCAGTACTGCACGTTCTCTGTATCTGCTGATGGTGCAGTGAAGGCTTGTGGGAAGGGTAGTTATGGTCGATTGGGACTGGGGGACTCTAATAACCAGTCCATGCCCAAAAAGCTGGTTCTGGAACCGCCTCGCACCATGAGGAAGGTGTCGTCTTCCAAGGGATCAGACGGACACACGCTCGCCGTCACGGCGGAGGGAGAGGTGTTCAGCTGGGGAGACGGAGATTACGGCAAACTGGGCCATGGGAACAGCGCCACACAGAAATACCCCAAGATTATACAAGGCCCTCTTTTAGGAAAGGTGAGAGTGTGTTTTCTACATTATAATTTGTTTTATGTTTGGATGTGACTGTCTAATTGAAATCATATCCCTGGGCATATCTTCTGACTTGGACCAGTGGACAACATTCCAGATCACTCTAAAGGTGATGATACACAGGGCAACTTTTTGAGCAATGTTGCCGACAACGGGCAACCAGGTGAGACACAGGGCCCTCGACCGATCTAAAGTATCCAGATAGAAATTTGTTGCCCATTCTCAATGGAAAAGTGCCCAAACAACATTGTTCAAAAAAGTTGCCCCGTATATCACCACCTTAGAACACCCACCTAGCAACACCATAACAACATCCTAGCCACCTTAGAACCAGTGTTGGGCAGTAACGCGTTACTTAGTAACGCATTACTGTAATTTGATTACTTTTTTAGTAACGGAGTAATTTAACGCGTTATAATTTTCAAAATAGTAATTAGAGTATAGTTACAAGCCGAGGTCTCTATACTAGGGGTGCTCCGATCGATCGGCTACCGATCACTATTGGCCGATAATCACGTTGGGATGATCGATCGGCGGTCTCTAAAAGGCCGATCTCAAAAAAAACGATCTCAAGCTGATGACGCGCCTGCCGTAAGAGGTTTGGCATGACATGCAGCGGCACCGTCTCACCGGGAACCGCGGGACCCGACCAAATTTTTTGCGCCGCGGGATTAAATTCCCGAATAAAACACGGTAGCGGTCGG